AGGGAAAAACAAGTAGAAGGGAGAGAGGCAGCATGAAAGCGGACTGTAGGCAGAATGTGAGACTGAGAGGGAAGGCGACAAAAGAGAGAGAGTGGGCGTGCGAATGGGCGTGATAAGGGGAGGTAATCATCGAGTTCGTCGCCGAGACGCGGAGGTTGTCGATGGCGTCACCAGGGCGACGGCGGCCGCGAAGCCCGAATGGAAGCCTTGCGACGAGATGGAGCGAGGGAGCTCCCGTCGGGCGGCTCGCGACGCCCCCGTCCTCTGATCATGAGAGCGGTTCGTGAGTTTGTCGGTAATGGAAAGCCAGTTTATTGCTTCGTATTGTATCGTCTCCGGATTTCCGTGCGGGCCCGGGCATGCTGGGCGCGTGATGTCGGTCCGGGGCGCGATCCCAATTACATCGCTCAAATGACATTTCAACGAGTCTGAAGCCAGCGATGCACAAAATATAAATATCTTCAACGTCTCTTAATGGCTGTGCGTTTGTTTCACTTTTTCGTATCATAGATATCTGACAGGTATTCACGGGCCTCTTGCATAAGGAGACACTCGTGCACATGTAGTCTCACGTACACAAACATTCTGTTTAGCCTCTCACTTTATTTCTTGTAATTTTCCCTTGGCCTGTGTGTAATCTTTTGTTACCAGCTCTGCCTTTTGAATTCGACGTCTGTGAGAATAGATTTCCTCCGACATTTCCTCATCCTTTTTCATGCTGGCAGAATTCTGTTGTTTGTAGTCTATATGAAATAACGCGGATCTGCAGTCGTCAGTTTCATCCTTGCAAAGCGCGACGCAGGATTCACAGACTTTATTGGAATAACAAAAGAAAAAAAACACTCCTATCGGTCTTTTTCCAGTTATTAGAATCCTTTGCCTGTTTTATTTATTCATAGCACACACATGGCAAAAATCTGTTATCGTGTGTTTGAAGTGCAGAAAAGTTGTAAAACCTCATCAAACGCGATTCCAAATCTGCGATAGCGATCGAGTGGATTTTGATGAATTGGCAAGCAAGTGGACTCTGGAGTTTGTCAATCTATGCTAATTTTGGCCAATCCATTAGGATAAAAGTTATTCCCAAATGGCCGTAATAACTGTGTGCTAATTGCGGGAATATGCCTTTGCGGCGGCTTTTAAAGAGGCTCTGCGACTCGCACGGGCAATCTCCCGTTGTTGGCGTGTTTAAAGATGCTGTTTACTCGATCGAGGCCTTTTCATTTTCGTGCTGCGACGGAGGATTTCGCTATCAACTAATTGGCGCTGTTCGCCGCGTGAACCGAGCACTTGGGGCCCGAATGAGC